GTTAAGAACCATTTATAAGGTTACAGTTAGTCCTTGAAATCTTTTAAGTTTTATTTAAAAGAAAACCTAATAATAATGAGAAATGATTATAATCTTTGTAATAAACCCAGTGATATAACTATGAATGTTATTGTACAACTCCATATGATAAGTGCAAAAGTTCAATTAAGAAGAATATTAATTCAGCCTTGAGCTCTACCATCCAGATTGGCCAACTCATACTGTCATTGTTTAATGGATTGTTAACTCATGCCAAGCACTGCCTCCAAATTGCCTTCACAATTAGTGGGAATCAAGATTTTCCCACTACTTCACAGGTGTGGATAATAATCAGCCCTAAGATGCAGAACTTTGCTAGTGCCCTTTCTAGTAAGACTAACAAGCTTTTATTGCATGATTCTCCACAGTATTAACCATAGGTTTGCCTTTTATTTCTTACTTGCAAGATCCTGGCTCATCAACTGCTTATTCTAATCCATCTTTCTCTCACAAAAAAATACTTCATGTCTTTGATGAGGGGGACTAATCGTCCCTTCCAATTCAGGTTATATCAATATTTTATTGTGTCTATTTCTTCAGTAGATATAAGAATTAATTACCACTGAGTAACAGAAATCCCTGAGCATGATAAACTGGTGATTTCTGGCAATGGCCAGACACTGGGCAAAGGAGTCCACTACATCAAGCAGAATATTCCACTCCAAGTGCTTTGGCGCATCACATGTGTACAGGCATACCCTACAGACCAATTTCAGTAACCACCCCTTACCCCAATTCTGTCACTTTAGACTTCAGCTGACAAACTGCTTAATTTCATTTTCCTGACTTCAGCTGTTGTTTTTCTATAAGGCTAAATGTAAACCTTTTTGACTGAATTTGGTTATCTCCAGGATGGTGCCCTAAAGCTAACAATCACCATCATTAAACAGCATGAGTACTAGATGTATTCTGTAAAGATGAGCTATGACAAATGTTTCATATATTTGGTCAGCTATAGCTAATTTTGGAATTGATTTTATATGGCCTTTGAAGATCAGAAGTTACAAGCCAAATGTAAGTGAGTTTATTTTCCTTCTGAATTAAAGAAAATGGGGATAGAGAGGTCTTGAATGTCCCTGTTTGTTGAACACTATCCTTATCCATAAACATGCAAGCAGTTTGCTTGAATTGGTTTCTACAAGCTGTTTGATGAGCAGTCACCTCAACTTTTGTATATTACGTTTCCCTTGAGCTGTTGTATATCTTTTATGCTTAGTTGCACTGCACGAAAGTTTTGCACAGTCTCCATGCATCTAAATTTTGTGTTATGTATGCATGTTTGTGTTGCTTTTGAAATTGTATTGGTTCTATATTTTTGACATGGGTTAGGGAACTTAATAAATTATATTAAGCAGTTTTGTAGAATTATTTGTGAAACCTATTACTATAATGAAAAATATTTTCATTATATGTTTGTCTATGTATATGTTTGATTGTTTTAGTGTTTTCTTCGGTATTTGTTTTTACATATTGCTTTTTTCATGTATGTACACTTTAGTTGATATATTTAAGTTTCTTCTGATTTCTCTACATGTGTAAGTGTTTCTCTGCTTCTGCCCCTGTTCTTTTTCGTTTATGTGTATGTGGATAATAGTGTGTAGCCAAGTATAGTTATAAATGTATTTCTTGATGCTCATTGTATGATGAAAGATGAATGTACTGTATAGTCTTGAGGGCAATAGTAATATGACAGTTGTGAGTAAATGCATAATTTACCTTGTTGGTGAGGTGTTCTTTGGCCAAGGACAAGAGCAAGTTCCACCATGTTACAGGTTGAAGGGCAAGCCATACATCCAGGTCTCACTAGGTTTGTGGTGAAGGTCACAGTGTGTCCTGTAGGAGTGATCTGTGGTTCAAGTTGACAGAACGTGGGTCCCAGGTTCCCAACTTTTAATTTGAAGTCCTAAGGTCACATATTCTGATCATTACTGTCCTTTTGTTGATTATATGATTATGGCATGTTGTAGCAGCACGACCCCGCAACCCGAAGTTCAGCGTAGTTTCCAAGGTTTGGTCACACCAGGTCCATGGCCATGTCCAAGCTCATTGGACAACAGGCTTCCCTCATTCCCTGCACGTTTACACAGCACATGTGCTTAAGCCACAGAACCAGGAACCAAGATCAGCATTCCCAGCAGAACACAACAGCAGCAGCAGCAACACAAGGACAGCCCAGTTGATCCGCACTTTATTTTCAGCACCCAGCCATACCTGTGGACACTCACACCCACACAATCACTCCTGTAGAGATATAGACCAGTCTGAGTAGTAGTTGCAATACCATTTACTACACTGGTGACCCTCAGAGTGACACGTCATGGTATTTCGCTTGCTCGCTTTGCTCACTCTCTTGCGGGAGTGTATCTGCAGCAGCACAACTCCACAACCTGAAGTTCCCGTTGATTTCTACTTCATCTTCAGCACCCAGCCATACCTGTGGGCACTCACACTCACACAGTCACCCCATATATAAATATAGACCAGTCCAAATAGTAGATCCAGTCACATCTACTACAATGTTATGAAAGATGTTTGCACTTGTAGCTTGTTGACATAAGGGCAGCAATAGCAAAAATGTTCAACTCCCAAGGTCAGGCTTTCACTGTCAGGCAATTCCATCACATGGTACAGTGACTCTATGTTGTCTTTTATTCCTAGAAGTAAATAAGCCAAGTTCAGCATCATATTTTATTTTGCTATAAGTATTTTTGCAAAATTAGTACATAACATATTAATTATGTACAATAATTGCTTGAAGGAAAGAGTAAAATTGAATATGTATGCTTGAAATAGTTCAAAGTATTTAAGGATCATGGTAGAAAGCACTTTAGGGTAAAAACCCTTATTGCTATCATGAAGCCACTATATATTCATGATTAACTCTGGCATCAGAAAAGAATAAAGGTATAAAAGATCCAAAGAGAAACAAGCAAGCAAGCAAGATTAGGGGTTGCAAGAGTGCTGCAAGTATGGGGGTAAGATGCGAGTTGAACAGGTTGTGAGGAACCAGAGTGCAAGCTGCCGTACCAGGAACATTGCTATTTGATACCCTTTTCATTTTCTTATACTTACTTTATTAATTTCCTTTACTTTTTAATTCCTCTTTCAACACCACTGTACACCAGCTATAAACTGCTTGTCTTAAGCACTGCCGCTACCAACATCAGTTCTGTGAGGGTTTTATAAATTTATTGTCCGCTATTGTTTTGCTTTATTAAGTTTGCTTACGTAGAGTTGGCTTCAGTCCCTAGAGATTAATGACTAGGTTACCTGACCTCTCTTTTCCTTACCCAATCTTGAATTTTATATATATTTTTTTTTATTGTTGAATAATAATGACATTATAATAATGACAATGTTGGTATAAATACTAAGATTAGTAACATAGTTGTCAAGAAAAGTGAAAAAGTGGTGTTGGTGCTAAACATGTCCGAAACTGAATGTATAATCACCTCAAAGAAAAAAAAAAAAACATTTTCCTTCTCCTCGTAAGCCTACCTGCAAAGATCCAACCATCACATAAGTTTATAAATTCAAATATATGGGTTATATCATCATGTTAAATGGGAAAATAGTGAAAGTGACATCCAGAAAAGCTTTTAAAATGATGAGCACCCAACTGAAAAACAGAAAAACAATCTAGATAGGAGGAATAGAGACTTGAAAATATATGTGTGCCCTTTTTAAACCTATAGTTTGATTGTAGGAGCATCAGCATGTCTTTGAAGTAAAGAAAAATAGATGCCTTGGCAAGGGTTTTTTTAAGGATGATGATAAAAATATCATCAACTGAGAAAAAAACACTAGCTTCATGCTGCTAAAAATTCAAGATCACTAATGAATACAATCAGAAAGAGGTCAGTGTATTTTTTTGGTCATACCGACAGGCATGGTGATTTAAAGGAGCTTTTTACTTGGGAAAATTACTGGAATAGAGACCATTGTACACAGAGAATAACATTCTTACAGATCCTCAACATTTGGAGCACGGAAATCTCTCTCTCTCTCTCTCTCTCTCTCTCTCTCTCTCTCTCTCTCTCTCTCTCTCTCTCTCTCTCTCTCTCTCTCTCTCTCTCTCTCTCTCTCTCTCTCTCTCATATATATATGTGTGTGTGTGTATACATACATACATACATACAACTATGTATATACATGCATATACATATACAAATATAAGTACATATACATATATGTATATATGTGTTTATAAATATGCATATATATATATATATATATATATATATATATATATATATATATATATATATATATATATATATATATATATATGCATATATATATATATATATATATGTACATATATATATATATATATATATATGTACATATATATATATATATGTACATATATATATATATATATGTACATATATATATATATATGTACATATATATATATATATATGTACATATATATATATATATGTACATATATATATATATATGTACATATATATATATATGTACATATATATATATATGTACATATATATATATATATGTACATATATATATATGTACATATATATATATGTACATATATATATATATATGTACATATATATATATATATATATGTACATATATATATATATATATATATATATATGTACATATATATATATATGTACATATATATATATGTACATATATATATATATGTACATATATATATATATATGTACATATATATATGTACATATATATATATATGTACATATATATATATATATGTACATATATATATATATATGTACATATATGTATACATATGTATACATATATGTATACATATATGTATACATATATGTATACATATATGTATACATACATGTATACATATATGTATACATACATGTATACATATATGTATACATACATGTATACATATATGTATACATATATGTATATATATATATATATATATATATATATATATATATATATATATATATATATATATATATATATATATATAATAATATATACATATATACATATATACATATATACATATACACATATACACATATACACATATACACATATACACATATACACATATACACATATACACATATACACATATACATATATATACATATATATATATATATATATATATATATATATATATATATATATATATATATATATATATATATATATATATATATATATATATATATATATACATATATATATACATATATACATATATACATATATACATATATACATATATTTGTGTATATATACTTATATATATGTATGTATATACATATATTTACATATATATGTATATGAATATATATACAAACACATTCATATGTATGTATGTGTGTAAATAAATATATATAAACATACATATATACATATACATATTTATATATGTATATTTATGTATGTATGTGTATATAATTTATATATGTATATATATGAACCATATTCATGTTGACAAATGTAGAAAAGGTATGAATGAAAATGAATATCGTCACAGTATAAAATACATGTATTTCTGACAAAGATATAATCGAAATCTGTCAAATACATCGCTTGTATTGTGAAGATATTCATTCTCATTTATATATGCATATGTATGTGTATATATATATATGAGAGAGAGCGAGAGAGAGAGAGAGAGAGAGAGAACTTTGTGTACCTTGGAAGTAACATTGCATCATCTGAAATGGATATCTCTGCCCAAATAGCTAAAGCCTGGAGCGCACTTAACCCATTCGCCGCGGATGGCAAGAATAGATGCCATACCCACTTTGATACACGTTTATTTATTGTATTTACACATAGATGGCTCTACAAGTTCTTAATCACCAAATAGCCAGTTATCAAGAACTACCTATTTCACCTGTTTAGCCTTTTCCTTCACTTTCGGAAAGGGTTTTTTGTATCATCTTATTGTCAAAAATATTCTAATGACAATTCAATCATCATAACATCAGTAACAATAATAACAGCATCGAAAGCAATGATATTAATTTTCCCGCCAATTCAATGAATGGGAAAATCAGGGTCGGTAACTAGGGCCTACTGATAGACTCCTTGCCGGCTGAGTACATGTGGAGCCATCTGTAGGTAGCAAAATTCACCAAAACCAACAGGGGACAGAACATAAATCCGTGGCCAATGGGTTAATAAGCTCAACGTCATATGGAAATCCAACCTGCCAGATGATCTCAAAAGGAATTTCTTCAGAGCAGTAGTCGAAACGGTACTCATCTATGGTTCCACTGCCTGGACCCTCACAAAATCTCTGGAACAAAAACTCAATGGTACATACACGAGAATGTTACGAGCGATTTTGATTAAACCGTGGCAGCAACACCCGACAAACAAAGAGCTGTACGAAAACATCCCACTAATAACAACTACCATCAAAGACCAAAGGATGAGATTCACAGGGCACTGCTGGAGAAGCAAAAACGAGCTAGCTAGCGAACTCCTACTATGGACTCCTAGTCATGGCCAAGCAAGAACTGGACGGCCAAAGAAAACATACACACAACAACTTTTACAAGACGCGGATCTACAACAAGTTGTTGATCTCAAGACAGTAATGAGTGACAGGAACGTTTGGAGAAACTGAGTCAATTTCATGATCCAGGCAACTCGCCAGACCTGATGATGATATATATATATGTATATGTCTTGCATATGCATTCCTGGTCTCATTATATGTGTATATATGTATATGTGTGTGTGTGTGTGTGTGTCTATATATGTGTGTGTGTATATATATATATATATATATATATATATATATATATATATATATATGGGCTTATGTAAGTGTGTATGTTTATTTGTGCATATATGTCTGTGCACAACAAACTTAAGATAAACAAAAATGCCATGGAATCTATAACCACTTAGCCAAGACTAGTTATAGTGACTCAAAAAGCTCCTCTCTTTCACAGTTAGCAGTGTATGTGTAAAATATAATGATGAATGAAACTTAAGGATATTGCTTTTATGTCCTCAACAGGCATATCTGGACAGGTGGTGGACGACAAGGGGGAACCCGTGACTACAGCCAAGGTGCTGGTTGATGGCAAGGTGATTCAACTGCAAGAAATGGCTTCCTTTAGGAAATTGCTGCCTGTAGGCTCACACACTCTCCAGGTAAGTGACGCTTTGATTCATAGTAGCATAAAGCATCTATAAAACCATTTAGAAAGTATGAGAGGCTATGATTGTGAATGCTTTCCAGGTAACTGCCGATAACTTGGAGAACAAAACAATGGAGTTAGTCGTACCAGCTAACAAGGAGGTCCCAGCTAGTGTCACTCTGGATTCACTCAAAGAGATGACAATAGGCTACCATTCATACTACGGGACTGAGGATCACTTACGGAAGCTCAACTCCAACTACTCAGAAATATCGAACCTTTACTTGTAAGTCTTGCTTTCATGTGTATGTATTAATTTTGAGATAACGGCTTCCTCCCTTTTCTTCACGTTCAACAGCTAGAAAAACGAAAATTCTTGCCTGTAATCAATTAGTATGTTTCAGGGTATATTGCATATACAAGAACAGCAATTAGATTACTTGATTTTTCCTTCTGTTCAGAATTGGAAGAAGCTCTAAGAGTCGGCAGATTTTAGCCATGGAAATTGATGTTCCACGAAATGATAAACAACCAGCAGTACCTTCAGTAGCTATAATTGGAGGTCTTGGGGCAAGTGACAGAGGTGGCAAGGAGCTGGTCCTGGAATTTGCAAGGTATGTGGCACATATGCTATAGACCCTGTGATGGGACTATCTGCATATTTTTTTCATATCATCTATCTTTGTGTTGATAGGTTTTCCTCCTCCTATGTCTCAGATTTAGTATACAAAGACCTTTTGCATTTCTCATGTGACCATGTCCAATTGTTTATTTAATGAGAATTATACCTCCATGCAGGTATTTAATATTTGATTACTCAGGTGACAAAAAATATAGAATGATCCTTGAATCATCCTGTTTTAGATCAACATTGCTTTCACTTTAATCTTTACATGTAAAATTGCCTTTACATTTTACATCTACTTTATTGCAGGTACTTACTTTCTCACTATAATCATGATGCAACAGTGAGTAAAATACTACAGATGACACGTGTTCATCTGGTACCAACTCTGAACCCAGATGGCACTGCTGAAGTACCAAAGGGCAAGGAGAAGGGTGAGAATTGTCAGCAAGTGGATACAAAGAATGGCAATGGTGTTGATATGGACACAAGCTTCACTGCTAAAGGTATGTTCAGTCATTCCGTCTATAATATTACTATGCCATAGAATAACTAGATACATGGGATTCTCTTTTTTTCCAATCCAAACATTATGCTTTTTTTAGCATATTTATGAGATTGTAAGCTTTTTAACTGTAATCATTCTTATTTTTCAAAGATACAGTGACCACAAATGAACAGCCTGAAATTACAGCCATTCAAAAGTGGATGACAGAAAAGAAATTCACCTTGGCCCTTGTACTGAGAGGAGGAGGACAGGGAGTGGCAGTGCCGCTATCTAGTGTCTCCAGCTTCAGCATGTCACATCATGATTCTGAGGTGATGATAGGCCTACTTAAAATCTTAGTTATCTCAGAATGAAAATTGGTGCTGCAGTTGTGAGTATCATGGAATTGAGATATCTGATTAAATTGGTTTATATAGTTTTTCTGATTTTGAGAATTTCTCCAACAGGTCTTCAATCATCTTGGCTCAGTGTACTCAAAGGCAGCAGGACTACCTCAGGATAAGTCACAGTGCAAAGATGTCAAGCTCACCAATGGTACAGCCCGCGATTCAGAATATCACCCCCATTCTGAAAGCCTGTTGGTGAGTTTGGAAGTGTAATCATAATGGTCATTGCTTTATTTTGTACAGTTTTTGATATGTGTTAACTGACTAGAATATTTTTCTTGGTTATCAATTGTAGTTAATTACTTAATGATTGAATAATCTAACAAGATTTATGGATAACAATTGCATCTGAATTTGTTCTCTTTGTCTACAGTCACAAAAGAAAATGTGTAGTATGTAATATATGATAGATTGTCTATTAGTAATTACACTTACACTCTTTTCTTGTTTCAAATAGGACTGTTTTTATGGCCACAGTGAGACTCTGGCCCTCAATGTTTACTATAGTTGTTGTGGTACTCCTGATGAAAGGACTCTGGGTCAGTTGTGGAAGAAACATAAACCAGCACTACTTAAGTACCTTACTCTTGCAAACATGGGTGCAATGGGTAAGTTATTGCATATATCTGGCTCAGGCATAGGGGCAGCATGATGTTATAATGTTTGACTCCCATATGTAATCTTCTCCCATTTACTTAGGTTATCACCACCATCAGTAATATTTTGCTGCTGGTATTGTCAGTAATAAATCTTGTATTCTTTCAGGATACGTTACTGATCTATTTGGGTCCCCAATACCTGATGCGCAGATCAAGTTTGATGAATCAGAGCATGTTGTTACCTCCTCTGTAGACCATGGAGCTTGGTGGAGGCCCTTGACCCCTGGAACACACACACTTACAGTCAATGCTGAAGGATATTACAGTCAGAAAAAGCTTTTGCAAGTGGTCGGAGGTGACACGGTTGTCTTCAGATTGGAAAAAGATGATAGTGTATTTGGGATGCCTAGAATGGTGTTTGTGATCATTGCTGGTAAGTAGATATTTGCTTTCTCCTTGTAAAGTGTTAAAGACAAGTCATTATATATTTTCTAACTAATTTATGAGAATTAGTTGATCTATAATGTATAACATGTGAGTTTACCATCACTTTATAGTAATTCAAGGAATAGAACTTCACATTTTTCACATTTAGTAGTTCACCCTTAATTAAATCACACATTTCCATATTGAGTTCTTACATTTATGAAATTCCTATATCACAGTATCAGATTTGAGCACTTAAAGATAGGATA